TCATGACAGGTGTTATGTCATGTTAATGAAAGTGTCATGACAGTCTTATTCAACCCCCTTCAAATAAAGTGTTACCACATTTTCTTTGTCACGTTTTGCTTAAATGTGCAAGAGAAACCTTAAAGTCCTACAATACATCCAGAACTAAAGTTACCTAAAACAGATAAACTAATGTAATTAGTAAATAATCAGATTTGCGGATCTGCATCTTCTTTTTTGTTTCCAGTTTTAATGAAATATAATGATAAAACTCCTGCATTGAATTTGACTAAGAGCAAAACAAGTTCTCTAATTGTACCCACTACCAGACATTTCTTTGGAAGTCACTTTCAGCATAAAACAAATAAATAAATATGCAAATATAATATAAATGTTTGCTATATCAAGCAGTTGCAATCCGAATTCAGTTCAGCAGATCATTTAAAGTTGAATTTCTTGGGTTAAATGTTTTCCTAAGTAGTGTGTCATCAATAAGAAATTGAACTGTAAACAAGCGATTATTGAATTTGTGTGAAAATAAAAATTAATCACAGTGTAACTTTAAATTATGATTTTGGTCCTTGTGTTTCTACTGCTTTCTCACTACAACTTATTTGTTGATAAAAACACAACACTTGCAACATGAAGTGTCAGAGTAGGGCTTGATGGTTTTTCTTTGGCTGTGGTGATGATTTCTACCTGACAGATTGCACACGAACTGCCCCAGATAAACAGCCACAACCACTTTTTCCGCCATTCACCTCATTGGAGAAGTGACAGTTTCTTGCTATTATGGATAGCTTTTCTGAAAAGCAACGACAGTGATGGCAGCAGCAGCAGCTTTTGGAAAAAATTCAGAGATTTTCAACTTAAAAGCACGGCTAGTGCCAACGCTTAAAAAATGTGATTCTGTGGTCTACTCTAGAAAAACTAAAGAGGACCTGAATACACTGAATGCATTTTATTTTCTGCACAGCCACATGCCCTCTGTACAGTTACGTTATCATTTATGGTTTTAGTTTTAGATTTGTCATATTTTTCTTGACGTTGTTGTTTGTTCTTGTTGTCTGATTAGCCTCCTAATTTTCCATGGAATTTGCTACATTTTGTGCTTGTATTGTTACAGATTAAATGGTTGATGAAAAAATATATTCATATGAAAAAAATGATTAAGACTGTAGTGTGGCATGTTTGTGCAAGAGACTTGATAGTTTCATTTAATTTTATTTTAAAACACTGGATTCTGCATTTCAACTGCTTTTTGAGATTTGTTTGTTGCAAACAAATGAATCTCAATTTCTTGAGTTTTTCCAAGAAAAACTCAAGAAATTATAATAAATTAGGCTATGGGAGAACCAGAGAATAAGGTTTTCACTCTGCCATGAGGCCAACATGGTAACCCCCCCCCACCTCCCAAAAAAAACAACAAAAAAAAAACATATGATGTCCAAAACAAACATTATTAAAAGGTTTCCACTTCTGTTACCACAATTTGTCTCTCCAAGTCGCACTTCCTGGCTGAATTTACTGTCTTTAAAAAATAATCTGCCACTGCTTTTAACTACTCTACCAACTAACTACTCTTCGTCTTTATGAATCAAATGCATCTTGTTTATCATGAAACTGATATATAAGTTACTCACTATGTTCTTGTAACATTTCAGTGTGTCCTTGGATGTGGGACAACTTGACCTGCTGGCAGGCTGCCGATGTCGGTGAGGTCGTAACGGTCAAATGTCCTGAGTTCTTTCACGACTTCATGACACCTGAAGAAGGTGAGTCGCCTTGTCTGCAAGGTCATTCCATCTAATGCTTTTTGAATGTCAGAATAAGTTTTCCCTATCGGTTTCTTTACGGCATTAAACTTTATATATATATATATATATATATATATATATATATATATATATATATATATATATATATATATATATATATATAT